GGTTGCAGCCGTCATTGTTGTTTGGCGGGTCCGGGCAGGGGATTCGAACCCGCCACCTTAGGTGTATGTGGCTGGCGCCTTAGCCGGTTGAGCTATAGGCGCCGAGCCCTCTTGTCAGGTTTTATGAATACACAAGTGTACCCTTAGGTAGCATTACTTTTTGTTTAATGTGTTTGTTAGAAAGCTCGACTGTGTTTGCCTTTGCCAGTGCCTACTCTTCCTTCTGGCTTCTTAGCAAGGAAGAACAATCTTATGGCTAAATACCTAACATCTTGGTCAACCATAATCCACTGTTTGCATTTAGGAGCTGCTTGCATTTAGGAACAAATTAAAAGCTAGAGGAGGTGGGGATGAAAAGATTAGGAAACTCTCAGTACTGGTTAATTTTCAAAGTTGAACTGAAGAGTAGCATATACCGCCCTAACATTATAGCTAAGACTAGTGCTGCTACAACAGATGTTCAGGAACTTTGATACAGTGACTTCAGGATGAGATGGTTGCTCTAAAAAAATGGTAGTCTCAGGTTCTGGAAATTCCATAAAAAGGTTTCTGCAGTATTTTAAAAGCTGACTCAACACTTGATATATTTGCTTCTGCTGGGAATTGTTGAAAGAATCTTTTGAATTTCAGAGGAAGGGTTCAAAGACATAGCTTACCTTTTGTCTAGGTAAAGAGTTTTTCAATATGTAAATATTGAAATCCCTTTTTCTCCATTTTCTACCTCACGTGAGAAAAAACCCTCTGGTTTCTGTTTTCTAAATAGTGTCATAAATGGTCATTTGCTTCCTAGGTACATAATCAAAATATTTGAGTCTTTGCTCCTGTGGCTGGCTTAAATTTGCCCTTTATTTGTACTGTGGAATTAGGTAAATTTGGCTACTGGGATTTTCTTGATCTTCCTGGCCAGAGTAGCATACCACAGTTTCTGTGCCTTGGCTAATGGCTTCAGGAGTTTACATTTCTTTTCTTGGTTATGTTTCTACAGCTTCATTAAAGTAGGGCTAAGACAAAGTTCTCAGAACGTTCACTGGTTGCGCGGCGCCTTTGGCTCAGTGAGTAGGGCACCGACCCCATATGGGTGGCAGGTTCCAGCCCAGCCTGGCCAGCTAAAGCAGAATGTTCACAGGTAAATATCCCATGAACATGTCCCAGAGGAGAGGTGGTTTAGGAAATGGGAAAAGTCATTTAGAAAAAGCAAAGAGGGCGGCTCAGCGAGTCGGGCGCCGGCTCCATATATCCAGGGTGGTGGGTTCAAACCCAGCCCCAGCCAAACTACAACAAAAAAACAGCCAGGTGTTGTGGCGGGCACCTGTAGTCCTGGCTACTCAGGAGGCTGAGGCAAGAGAATCGCCTAAGCCCAGAGGTTGCTGTGAGTTGTGACTTCTTGGCACTCTAATAAGGGCAACAAAGTGAAACTCTGTCTCTTAAATAAAAAAAAAAAGCAAAGTAAAAAGACACAAGAAAGAAGGCAAGGCAGTTTATGGGCATGGCCAAGAGCCAGGTTCTTGCTCCATCCTCCTGGGTGGATGGTGCTGGCTGTGGAGGTTAAGGGAAGGTCAGGTATTATGAAGCAGTTATTTTGAGGTTGGTGGTATGAAGCACTGTCCTGACACTTCCTGTTATTCTGGTACCAGAAGCCAGGTTACTAATGGTAATCCGCCTTGAAGAATGTCTCTGAGCTGCAAGTGAACCAGGAGGTTTTAGTTGGCTTTGAAAGTTGAGGTGATTTGGAGCCTTCAGTAAAACCGTTTAGAGAAGTTAAAAGAATTTTGGGTCCTATTGGCTGAAGTCCTTGGTTTTTGTGGCCTTGTTGGAGATTAGTGGGTGCTCTTGACAGGAATGATTGGGATTTAAAAAAAAAAAAAATTGTGGGGTTTTTTTGG